CCAAATACAACCAGTATTCTCTAATCTCTTTATAGCTGGAACAAGGGTTCATGTCAAATGATTTAACAGACCATTAATGTAGGATTTACAATTCATACTAAAAAATAAAAACATACTAAATACTACTGAAATATTTATTTAAAGAAATTTTCTTACCAAATACCCATAAGGTGAATTGAGGTGGCATCTTTAGGGTTCAGTTCAATTGCTTTCTAATGAAAAATGAGAAAATCAATCATATTTGTTTTCTAAACATCAGTGAGTTCTTTACTATGCTGAAGAAGCCATGATATAAAAAAAAATTGCAACCCTGTTTCAATTCTTCTATTATAATCAATACCAACTTTCTTCCTCCTGATTTCTTAAGTGATTAAATTCATTTCAATACATTATTAATGACTTGTACTGAGGTTACTATTTTATAAGGTTCAGAAACTGACAGTAGGGTCTATCAAGATGAGAAAAAAACATGAAATATATAAATGAATTTAATTTCAAAAACAGTAATAATCTATAGCTTTCAATGTTTCTTCTGGACTAAAGGAAAAATAAATAATAAAGTCCTTTTTTGGCAAATCCTAAATAAATACTAAATAGAGAACATTCTCTCCTAAAAGAAGTAAAAGTACATAATTGTAGAAAGTCTCTTCTTATGCACAGATTTTGCTCAACTTCCTTATCTGGATTTATCTTTTTTTTTTTGAGACAGAGTCTCACTCTGTTACCCTGAGTAGAGTGCCACGGTGTCAGCCTAGCTCACAGCAACCTCAAACTTCTGGGCTCAAGCGATCCTGCTGCCTCAGCCTCCCGAGTAGCTGGGACTATAAGCGCTCACCACCACGCCCGGCTAATGTTTCTATTTTTAGTAGAGATGGGGTTCTCGCTCTTGCTCAGGCTGGTTTCGAACTCCTGACCTCAAGTGATCCTCCTACCTTGGCCTCCCAGAGGCTACCCATCTGTATTTATGAAAGGAAAAATAAACACTATTTATTCATAGAATATATTAGTAGAATAATTACATACAATGTAAAATATGTTGATAAAATCTCCCTAATTTCTATTTACTATGTGAATTAGTATAAAGCATAAGTTATAGAATAACTTTAAAGAAATTACTCCTCCTTTTATCCATTATTTGTTGAAAGCCACTAAGGAAATCTCACAGATTAATGTTGATCTTATTAAAAATAAGACTCTTTTAAAATAAGACTTCCTAGTTTATGCTTTTCTATAAACCCACATTTTCACTTTCAGTTTGGTAATGTGTGAGATACACATTTTCAGAT